AACAGCATGTCTTATCCTTCTGTGCTGGAGCAAAACTGATCACGAGCTCTCCTTGCTGGCTGCTCCCAGGCCAATACTGGAATGGGTGTCCTTTAGTCACAAGCAAGGATGAGGTCCCTGGACTGATTAAAAGCCCAGTTGGCAGATGGAGTTGCTAGGAGGGAGGCATGAGGATTGTGGAGGGGGAGGGGTGCAGGCAGAGATACAAGAGCCTGGGGTTGGGGGGAAGGAAATAAGACAGATAAAGACACCTCTCAGGAATTCAAACCGATAGCTTCTGGAACATTTTGGGTTCTGCTATGCTGGGGAGCTATTCCCTGCAGGAGTTATCCCAGTAGTGAACCTCTCTTATGTAAGGGGTTAAGGTTAGGGTTAGGGTTTAAAACTAAATGATCAAAATAAAGAGGATGGATAAGATGGTATGAAAGGTCTCTTCTAGTTCTCCATGGAATGGTTCTATATCGCATTGAACAGTTATTAGCGAGTTGGATAGTCGAGAAGAGGTAGAAGAAATGGACATGTTCGTTTCATCTTTTCAAATCTGCAAGGAAAAATTCTATTATCCCCACTCTAAATATTGAGTAACTGAAGCTCAGAAAAACTTATATCATTTGTCCAAGATGCCAAGGTAAATAGATAGCAAAACCATATTCTAAAATCAGCTTTTCTAACTCCTGTATCATTTCCCCTGTGGCATATCCTTTGCCTAGAACTTTGTATTTAATCAATAATTACTAAATTAATACATACATATATAATAAGCCTAATATATTTAAAACCCCTTTACAGTGTTATAAACTCAATTACTAGAATTTGCAAAAAAAAGAGAAATAAGTTTTAGTTTTCCCCCTTTATAGGTACCCATCTCTATTCTCAGTAGAACTTTGGTGAAATAAGATAATTTCAAAGAAAAAAAATGGTTTGTTCTCTTCAGATTGTAGAAGTAAGTTAGATAATATCAGACATTTCCTAAGTAGGAACTATACTTTTTCTTGCATTCCACATTTACAAAGAAGAAGCCCTGAAGAAACTAAGTCATGTGTAACTACCTAAAAGTGGATCCAAGTCCACACAGAGAAAGGCTCGCCATGCATCAGGGAAGATGGTCAATTTTTGAACCACTGACTAGAAAGAAAAAAAAAAAAAAACCACCTCAATATTTAGTTCATTTACAACTTGACGCTATCAAAGAAATGGTTGATGCAAGCCCCCAAGTGGAACATCCCTTTATTACATACTCCCACGGGTAGCTTGTAAAGGGCACTTGATTAGTTTTTATCACAATTAAATTCTCTACACCTAAAAGACACCAAGAGATGGTAGCTTATACAAAGAGGTAGGAGATGGGCTTGTAATTGGCCTTAAATTAAGTGGTAAAGAAGGGGATAATGAGGAAAGAAGCCATAAAATATAGTCAAAAATGGAAACTAACAAGTGATCAGAAGAATTAGTTCACAAGAAAAAGAAGGAAAACTTAAACCACGTTTCTATACTTCTAAAACCAAGCATGGATGTGTGGAGGGCAGGGGTCATCTCTCCTGTCTCTTCCCAGCAGGGGTATGCTGTTCCTGCACCTGAGAGTTCTATCTAGAGTAAGAGTCCCTGTATTACTTTCTCTGAAAAAGGATCGCTCTTCATTTCAATATTCACAAACTCAAAGATATTACAACTTTGAAAAATAGGGAAATAGCCCTATGACCTTGCATACATATATCTAGAAGTCATGATTTCCTTGGAATTAATATCAAGAAAACTATTATTGCCCCTCATCATGAGCTTCTTGGAGACTATTTACAGTTAGCATAGCGGACTGATGAGACATGGGCTTGGCTCAGACTATCTACAGTAAATTAATCAGCTCTGATTCATGTGCCCTGACTAACACCCATCTGGCAAGAAAGACAATTTCAAGAAATATGAGAATATAAAAATTTTTTTAAATTGATACCAAAGTAGAAAACTTGACCACTGATTTGGCAACCACAAAGAAACCTCATATTGTTAAATCTTAGGTGGTCTTGTCGTCAGACATTTAATTATTTGAGGAGCAACCGTTCAAGTGGAAAATGTACTGAGAATTTCAAAAGAGTTGCTAGCAAGAATGCAAGAGGGCAACCCATTATTGCGTGTAGAAACTATTCATTTTTAGTTAAAAAAAAAAAAGAGGTTACCAGCCAAATCTGCTACATTGTACATCACTTCAACTCTCTACAGCTAAATCATCCCTAGCCCTTGCCCTCACTGATCCTAGTGACCACCCGAAGAATGAGGAAACTTTAGCCTGGACTTCAAACAAGCATAGTTGACTTAAGTTTGGCACATGACAACAGTCAGATTGCTTCTCAGAAATAAAGTAACCCACTATGGTAGTTGGAGGTGGGGGCAGGTAAAGTTGGATATTTTTTTCCTTCACTCATATAATTTGGAGATTATAGAATGTATTTTTTAAAGGTCAGAATGAATTGCTAATTAAACTGAGACATTTGGAATTAGCAAATAAAACTGCTACTTAGAATGGTGACTAAGGAGTAATTAATCATGCAAGGGGGTGAGGGTGGGGAGGGGGAAATGGCAGCACATAAGAGCCAGGAGTAAAATTATCTTTTAACTAGTTGCCATAGAGGCTTCAGATGATGTTACTAAGAAACTGTCAGCTAATTGTTCCTTTTCTTTCTCTTTAGGCTATATCCCTTAAAAAAATGTTCAACTATTTTTCATGAAGACACATATGAAGTTCATCTGCACAGCCTATCTTGCAGGTATGCAGAAATACACAGACTAGCTATGACTTCCCTGCACCTTGTTTGCAACATGTGAGAGATGTAAGGGTTACATTATACGCATAACCTTAAATTTACTCTAATTTTTTACATAAATAACTGACAGACTTTGTCATTTTAACTACTACAAAACAAAGTCATTTAATATATCAGTAGTTCCCCACCCCCCACCTTTTGAGTGTGCCTGCTTAAAAACATTTTGGTTTTGGTTCCTAGGTGCTTTTTATTTCCCTAGGTGTTTATATTTGCAAGACTTGGGTTGGATGCTCTCAATCCATGCTGGGATTCTCAGGATTCATTTCACATCAAGGTCTGTATATATTAAACTTAAAGCCAAAGTTACAAACATGACTATCACAACGAAATATCCAGAGTTGATTTGACATGCATATTTTAAATTAGAAAACAAATTAAGGTAGCATTTATACAGAGACATATTTTTAAGCACTTGATATTTATTAATTAGCTAATTCACACCACAAATCTATGAGGTAGCCTAGCATATCTTTAGTATAAATAAATTAGATAAGAATCAGAAACAGAAAAAAATTGTCTCCACAATAAATATGTTTATTGAATTCTTCTTATTCTGGTCACAAAAGAAAAATAATCAATTCCTTGTACAAGTTGGTCAAATGAACAATGAATATTTAGCTTGGATGGAATGTAGAGAGTGTGGTTATTTTGTTACCTGGCAGTTTAGTAAGGTTATTTTCTTGTTGGGGCTCTAATATCCAGTATTCACATTAACTTGTTAGAAATACCTCACTCAAAAATCAGCTTGGGAAAAGATATCACCCCAAAATCTCAACTGTTAGGTCAACTATAGCTAATAGTTTCTTATTCAACTACAGGTGTTTTAGCATTTTGCATGTATTCCATATTTCTCATCTTATGGTCTGATTGATCTAATAAACTCATTTCAATCGAAAGGTGTAAAGACTCTTGTGGTTCCAATTTATGTGTATACTCATATGTCATCTAAGAGGCAAATAAAAAGCAAATCCTACTGGTTTTTGTAGTCAAGCAATTGCAGATGAGTGTTTTATTACTACTTTTATCAGAAAAGGAATCATTGTAGTCCTCTCTACTTAGCAGATTGCTTTATGACCATATTTATTAGTTCACTGGGCTTTGGAGACTGTGTATAACAGAAGGCTCATTAATTTGGGTTTCAATAGCATGGCATTTGTGGCCTCTGGCACAAGTGCTAGCCTGAAGCTCACCTCTGCACTGGAGAAGAAAAACTTTTTGCAAAGTAAATTAATTGCATGACCAGGACTAGGAGTGTTTTAATCTCCTTAAAAGACAATTTCAGCTACTTAATCACTATTCTTTCAAATACAAATTATTTCACTCTGTTATAGCATAAGGAGTCTGGGCTTGTGTATTATGTTAAGTTTGAATCATTATTTCCCTCATTGCAGCAAAACTTCAAATAGCAGTACTTGGTTAGTTTAGTTAACATTACTATGAGTACTCTGGAATGGTGAAAGTACTTTAAATATTGATAATTGGACCGTGTCACTCTTTTGCATAGAATGGGTTCTCCCCCTAGTTCTCTGGAATTGAAATTGTACAGAAAATCCCTTGCCTGGAATCTCTGCTGTGATCAGAGGATTCTTTCAGGGCAGACTGGACCTTAAGACAGGACATGGGTCTCTTCCTCTGCACTAGAGTTGATTTGGTTATTTAAAAACATTTATCTCTCATCCCACTCCCATCTGCTCATAATAAAATCAGAAGGTAAGATATGACTTAAGTAAACAAACATAACCATAACAAACCAGACAAAAAACACCAAAACAAATAGCTAGCTCCCAAGTAGAGGTGTTCCTACTCAAGAATTCCCCAAACACAAACAACATTCACAGCTCCTTCCCTGCATAAAGCTGAATGATATGGTATACTGCAACAACAATGTCCCTGATCTGCATAGGCAAAAATAAAAAAATATGATAACAAACAAGCAAAGCCTCTGGCAGGGTATTCACCTTCAAGGTCGCCCAGGAGCACTGGCATTTAGATGAGGAATTCTGAAATAATCTGATTATTGTAGCTGAAAATTTATCTATAAAGGATTTGACATAGTCTCTCAGTACAGTAAGAAGAAATCTATGTTCCTAGGCTTTTCTATATAAGTTATTAAACAAACAAATAAATACAACACAACAATTCAGGGCATGAGCTTACTCACTAAACACAAACAAAAACAAAGACTTTTTTTGTTTTGTGGTTTTGTTTACTTAGACAATGCTTATTTTACAGCAGAATTGACAAACAAAGCCATATTTTACACATTCAAAGAAAAGCCATTGCCAGAGGGTTGTACTCTTGTGTGCTTTCCAGACAGCAACATAGACTTCTTCCCTTCCAACCCCCTTCCTACACTTGGGGGTGGGGGCTGCTCCTCTCTGTGGGCACAGGAACTGGCAGCCCCAACCCTCCAGAGTGGGCCTTCCTCAAGGGAATGATGCCAGATTTCACACACAGGAAAACAGGCACCTTCATAACAACACTGTGCATTTCTGTGTCATTTTGTTTATTGCTCACTGAGTTGTAACCGCTTCAGCTCTCTGTGGTAAACAGTGGATGTCCAGAAATTCCTGACACCAGGAGATCAATCACCTGCGGTCACAAGGTGCAAAGGGCAGCCCCAGGTTGGTCTCAGCCGGAGCACGGATAACATCGTGAACAGAAGCTCAACGTCCCACTGGGTAGCTAGCCTGCAAGACACCAAGTCCAGTCACCACAGGAAATAATTAAACCTAGAGAAAGAGCTTTATGACCTGTACTCAGAAATGTTCCCCGTAGTTTTCTCATGGGTCATTCATGCTGTCCAGCGGGATTCTTTCCAAGGTGACTGGATCTCAGCTCAGTGGCAGGACTTCAGTGAGAAACAGAAGAAACCGGGGACCTCATCTTCCCAAGGCTGACCATTTCTTCAGAATATCCTCATTTCTGTCCATGTTGTCAGTACCCCAAATTAAAGTCCACAGTTCAGGCCAACTCCATAAAATATATTCATTCATTTCTATCTCATTCTGGGGTCTATAATCCTTGTGGATGCTTTTGGTAAAACATTTCACCAAGGTCAACTGCTGTGAAGACATTTTTGCCTAAGAGGATCATCATGCAGGCAAACTAATTCTTTTCCTAAGCTATGATTTGGCAGCTTGCAAAGAGGACTTGGCTTAACCTTGAAAAACTGTTGTTTCAATGATCAGGAAAAAAGAATGAAGACTCTTCCTTTATTTGCCCTCCTGGTTTTCATTGTTCAGGTGGCAAACCTGGTTTGTGTGCTTGAAGGTGAACCAAGAGGGATGGGTGTTTGTCCATTTTCCGGCTTCCACAAACAGTGATTTGTTCTGGTTCCGTGCATGTTGTCCTCAATCATGTTCAACATGATGAAGAAAGAATATTTATATCTGGATAGAGGTGGTTTACATCACAATCATTGAGGATTTAACAGAATAATTATACTCTGAGGAAATCTAGAATAACTTGGAAATTTAAATTCTCCCACAGTCATTATTCTAAGTTTGAATAATGCTCCAACTGTTTGCTACAGGATTATAATTTAGAACATGTGCTAAATATGTGATCAGGAAAAAAGGAAAAAGATCCATCCAAATATCATAACTTACCACAAAATTAAAAAAAAAAACAAAAAAGAAACCTCATTTATTTCCAAAACTCAGGATCAGTCCTATGTTGTCTGTGAATCCTTGTAAGAAATGTTCATTGTTCAAGAAAGAAGCCTCCTCTGATGGTTGACAAGCAATCTCCAAGGCAGAGAGATGCTGATTTTTTTTTTCTTGTCTCTTGATTGGTGTTTTCACTACTTATTCTTCAGGCTATAAGACAGAAGGGAACACAGTCTTACCTTCCTTCATAATTACATATTACAACACCTCATTCTTCCCCCCTTTCAGTTCTCCTTCCCCATATCACTTTAACCATCCAATTCAACTAAAGTGAAATTTATATAGTAAATCTTTTAGGTTCTAAATAACCTGTGTATATTATAATTAAATTATCAATGCTATCTCCATGCATGTAGAAGAAAATTTATACTTCTACCCTGTCAATCCAGACACTAAATTCATTTTGAATGTTCTTATAGCAAAAATAATAAATTGATTTTTATTTGTAGTATGCTGAATACATCCATCTTTAAATTCCAGGCATGACTACATGCAGAATTCTCTTGTTGGAAGTAGAGAATAACATTATAGCATTTAGATTTTAAATTAATATAAGCCTTATTTTCCATTTAGAATTTTCTCTGTTAAATAGGACACACTGTTTCTGGCTTTATTCTCAAAAAGTATTGATCCAAGGCATCCTGATAACCAATTTTTAAGGGATTTTTAGCTTTTTCTTTATAAGAAGATACTTCCATTTATTGCATGCCTACTATGTGTCAATAATGTTACTCTTATTTGACATTATAATGCACTTCCCAGCCCACCTTAATGTGTGTGCCATTTCCCCCCAATTAAAAAGGTGAGACCACTAAGGCATAACTTGGCTAAATTCATGGGACAAAATCACACAGTTGTTAAGAGAAGGAAGTTGAGCCCTGGGGGCAGGGATGGGGAATCAAAATCAGGAAGCAGAAAACCTCTTGACATTATGTGCAGGGGATTTCTCTCATGCTACTGAAGAGGCACTCTGTCTGAAATGAGCTGCCCAAACAGTATCTCCAAGTGCTGTTGACCCAGAAAGAGGAGGGTAGCAAAAGCGTGAGAACAGGTTAGAATTCTGCACAGGTCTGTCTTTCTCCTTCACTAAGATCCAAATGTTTTACTGATAATCTGGTAAATGAAAAGTCAAAAGCTACAAAAGACTATCACTCACCTAGAAATATACAGCATATCTTGAAATTTCATTTTCCAAGAAAAGTGCTGTCATAGAATATTCTTAGGATCTGAATAAGAATTGAACGTTGTTGGTATAATGAAGACCAAAAGAAAGTGGAGACTACATGCATTTTAAAAAAAAATAGCCTTGAAATTTTGCCTTAGACTGACCCTGGTGACCACAGCCACTTTTTGGTCGTTGTTACAAAAATAAAAATTTTATTTTAAAATCTCATATCAAGTTTCCGCCACCATATGGTCATGACCTAAGGAGATTCTACAGTCCTTGTCATCTTCATGAATGAATGTGACATAAAGGTTAGAAGTTCTTACTGAGCAAACAAGTATAATTTCATTTTTATAAACTGCAAAGAGGAACATTTTTGAAATTAAAATGAATTTGACGTGCGACATCCCCATGTGATAGTAAGAAGACCAAACATATTCACAGCTCAGCAGTCTTCAGTCATGATTACATCGTTAGGGGAAACTAGATGAGAGGGTTTTATTTTTTTTTTAACTTATAGTAAAAGTGGTATATTAAGAACTTAATCTCAAAATGAGAGAAAATATCACATTCTTCCTTTTTATAGTTAGCATAATTATTCAGATCCATTCTGAACACATAGAAGTAATGACAAATTAAAATGTCTTTCAATTCCATATAACTTTTGTAATTATTCCTCCATTGCTGTTATTGCTGGAAAGCCTCCTTCATGTTTTAGTCAGCATCCCATCTGACACAAAAGAACATGGAAAATTTTACTGCTATTAATAAATACACAGTCATCCAATCCAAGAAGAAAATTCTTTTTCATCTGAGAGATAAGCTGCATAATTCATGCATTTTCAGAAATTTCTTTAAATAGAAAGTTGAAGAAAGGCATAAGGAAAAGATTTCATTATGTAGTTTCCATTTGTGGTGAGGGGCAGCCTTTGTGCTCAGATGGGCTTAAATGTGATTCAGCATGAAGAGACAATTTCAACTATACAACCATATACATATAGCTCACCTTCTTCTTCTTCTTTATTTTTATTTTTAATTTTTTTGTGAGTAAGTAGGAATTTATTAGAAGATAGGAAAGCTCCTGGCAGCAGTAGGGGACTGGAAAGAGGGTTGCCCTTCTTTTTTTTATTTTAAAGAGACAAGGTGTCACTCTGTCACCCAGGCTGGAGTACAGTGCACAGTCATGGCTCACTGCAGCTTCAACTTCATGGGTTCAGGTGATCCTCCCACTTCAGACTCCTGAATAGCTTGGACTAGGCTTGTGTCACCATGCCCAGCTAATTTTTTTTTTTTTTTAATTTGTAGAGACAAGGTCTTGCTATATTGCCTAGGCTGGTCTTGAACTCCTGGGTTCAAGCAATTCTCCCATTTTGGCCACCCAATGTGCTGGAATTACAGGTGTGAGTCGGTGGGCCTGGCCTCACCTTCTTTTTGACATATATAACCACAAACATGGAGATAATACAGTTTCACATTTGCTATCTTTTTAAAAAGAATGCAACTGGGTACTAATAGGGACTTTTCTTGGGGTCTTGGGATGTAGTCAGAAAAATCTTGCACAATTTAAAATGGGTTCTTCTACCTTCCCAAAAGGATCTGGCCCCTGTTGGAGGTCCTGGCACACAAGGGATATGACAGGCTTCTAGAACAAGCCGGATGAGAATCAAATCTGCAGAACCAATGATATACAAAAACTTCTGCTTTTTCCATTCTGACCCTTTTCCTTTTCCTCATTCTGACCCTAAAGTCACAGAAGATGGGGATTCTCTGATCTGGATTTGACAGTAGTCTCAGTGTAGACCAGTAAGGACCATTGAAAAAGATCTCACTGTTGAAAATGACCAGAAAGTGTATACAATATTCCTCAGATATTAACAAAGTGGGGGAGGAAGCAGCTTGATCAAGTTTGTTTGAAGGTTGTGGCTAGAGAAAAATATAATGATTTATTTGTCCCACACAGAATTTAAAGTGTTCAATAAACCAGTTAAAAGGAAAGCAGAACATCCTTTGCTGTGCTACAGCCTCGTTTCTGGTAGCCTGGTAGCAGGTTTATGGTGACAAGAAAAATGTGATCATGGAACATGGTTCTATAAAGAGACATGGCAGGAATATGTTGATGAAGAGGAATAGTGCCCACACATGTGCTGCTGACAGTCAGGCCTTGGAACTTGTTTAACATACTACCTGAAAAGTGAATGGCTTCCCAGGATGGGACACCTTTGCTCTATTCATTATGACAGTGCAGTAAGAAACCAAATTAAATTATATTTCCAAAGTTGGACATCTCCCAATTTCTAGCCTTGTATCCCCTAACTTGATAAAAACGCATTAGAGACCAAAGTGCAGCATTTCCCCTAGGTGGTCCCCTTCTCTCCCTCAGCCCATAACCTATTAACCACATATCTCCCTGGACCCTTCTTCCCTCTTAAGTATGCTATTTCCTCCACATCCCTGCCTGCTCTCTAGGCCAGGTGCTTGACACTGCACTAGTCTTTTATCTGGTCCTTTCCAGCCGGCTCTGCGGCTACCTCACACTGGCCAGGCAGTGACGCACTGAGTCTCATCATCTCCTGGAGAAAATAAAAACATCTTAACACAACACATGAAGTTCGTTGTGCTGTGACAGTCACCTTCTCCTCCAGTCTGATCTTTTTATCAGTTGCTGCTAGTGATCATTCAAAGCTTCCTTGATCACAGACAATCACATGAGGTGCCTACATTTGCTACTCTTATATGCTATCATGGTTTGCACAGGCCGTTCCTTCTGCCTGGAAACCCATTCCCCCTTACCTGCCCAGCTTCTCTTGTCTGTCTTGTGGCAGCATGCTTCCTCTAGACAGTATTTCCTGAATTTACTCCGACACAGGGAGATGTATTTGGAGAATTTTGAGTGACCACCTGAGAGTGGAGAACAAAACCTCAAGAAAATGTCCAAGCTACAGCAGTAAACTGCCAGGATTAAGATAAGGGGTGCTATGTGTTTTGCTTCTGAAGAAGGTGACTATCAGGAGAATGAGGGAGTTTGGGGAAAAAAGAGAAGAGAAAGAGAATGATGGAGAAGATGAGGCATAGAGGGGAACCAAGGAGACGGCTTTGTCCTGCACATGGTGCTATCTCAGTATGACACCCACATCTTTGATACAGTGAGCTAAACAAATAACATACTTGCAAAGTGTTTATCTTTAGTGGAATTCTATGTATCTGATTGATATGGTGAGTTGAGTGAAGAAGAACTCAAATGTATAAGGGGAGAAAAATGCAGAGATCATATGGTGTTGGGAGTCAAAGGTACAGGCCGAGCTTTGGATCCTAACAGGTTATGGACTTTGTTGGGGAGTCTTAAGGCAACTCAGATGACTGAAAGTAGAATGGAGTTCCGTGGACATCTCTGCTGTCTGATAACCACAAGATGAATTTATCCACGTCCTAGGAAAAACAAATCCCATATGTTTTTAACCCGCAGAATAAAGAAATAATTTAAGAAAATGCAGCTCTATTACTTCCTAATACATATACACTAGCAAAATTGACAAGAACAATTTGCAATTAACTTAGCACCCGCGCCTTTGGGAGGTTGAGGTGAGTGGATTGCCTGAGCCCGCGGGTTCGAGACCCGCCTGGGCAGCGAGACCTCATCTCTACAATAAATTAAAAAAAAAATCAGCCGGGCGTGGTAGCGTATGCCTGTAATTCCGGCTACTTGGAAGGCTGAGGCGGAAGGATCGCCGGATCCCAGCGGGTTGAGGCTGCGGTGGCCGTGAGCGGCCACTGCACTCCAGTCTGGGCGACAGAGTGAGACTCCAACTCAAAAAAAAAAATTAAAAAAAAAAAAAACTTAGCAAAACACCTAAGAAAACAAGCCTCCTCTACTTATATAGAATTTGCATTGTTTATATGTAAATGAATGCTCCTGCCTTGCTGCGGAACAGCTTATTCCCTTAAGAAGGCAAATATTCTCTTTATAATCTTGTTTACATTATTCATT